TTTTACAGGTAAAATGTTTGTCCACATCACCATTACACAGTACAGGTATATTACCGTCATAAACAAAGCTTCCAAGTTACACATCCAAAGTATTAAAATGATCGAAATCAGAAGCTATCCCAGTACATATCATTATACGCAAAATTACAATGCATTTTAATTTATTCTATTTTACATCACTAAGCAAAACACCGCTCAAAGGTATCACTAGTGAACACTAAAACAAAATAAGTATAAAAAGGTACAAGTAACTAAGACACGTGACAATGTAATCTTACACAAGTTTAACTGCTAGTATGACTTCTTTGTCTAGGCAATGCTCCTGTTCTATTTATCAAAGCCCTATAACAATTTTAGTATGTGTTGTGCCAAATTCTTTACTAAAAATGTCGATCAAATGAAAGTCCTATCTGGAATTAGGCCAAAAAACAATCTTAGACTGATGTCAAACTTGAATTTCCTTCTATCTGTTTTAGCTCTCTTGGTGCCTGTGAGGATTTGATAAGTTGAGGTGTCTTTCCTTTATCAAACTATTTCTCTAAAAAGCTTCTTATTAAGAACTGAAAGACATAAAGTCATGTGTATTCTTTTTTGTTAAGTGTTGAGGACCAAGGTCAACTTTGAGAGCTGGTCAGTGTCAAAGGTCAAAATAAGCTAGTATTTTAAAATTCTGGACAGTGTCAAAGGTCAAAATAAGCTAGTATGGTTAAAGTCTGGCAGTGTCAAAGGTCAACATAAGCTAGTATGGTTAAAAGTCTGGTCAGTATCAAAGGTCAACATAAGCTAGTATGGTTTAAGTCTGGTCAGTGCCAAAGGTCAACATAAGCTAGTATGGTTAAAAGTCTGGTCAGTATCAAAGGTCAACATAAGTTGGTATGATTAAAAGTCCGGTCGGTATCAAAGGTCAACATAAGCTTGTATGGTTAAAGTCTGGTCAGTGCCAAAGGTCAACATAAGCTAGTATGGTTTAAAGTCTTGTCAGTGCCAAAGGTCAACATAAGCTAGTATGGTTTAAAGTCTGGTCAGTGTCAAAAGTCAACATAAGCTAGTATTGTTAAAAGTCTGGTCAGTATCAAAGGTCAACATAAGCTAGTATTGTTAAAAGTCTGGTCAGTGTCAAAGGTCAACATAAGCTTGTATGGTTAAAGTCTGGTCAGTGTCAAACGTCAACATAAGCTAGCATGGTTAAAAGTCTGGTCAGTGTCAAAAGTCAACATAAGCTAGTATTGTTAAAAGTCTGGTCAGTATCAAAGGTCAACATAAGCTAGTATTGTTAAAAGTCTGGTCAGTGTCAAAGGTCAACATAAGCTGGTATGGTTTAAAGTGCGGTCAGTGTGAAGGTCAACATAAGCTAGTATTTTTAAAAGTCTTTGAATAACCAGAGGACTTCAGTCTTGTTATTTGGCCAGTAGCCGTCTGGGGCGAAATACCACAAAGCCTTCTCCAATAAACGACCTTGACCAACTTTCAAGGTCATCAGGGTCAAGTTCTTAAAAATGTTCAAACAACTTCCCCTGAATGAAATATAGGTCCAGGATCATAACATTTAGTCTATATTCTGTTAGAGTTTTTAAAATGAGAAGTGATTTCAATCTCAGTGGTCAAATGTTAAAAATCTTTGAAGTGCTGAATAACCAAGAGGTCGAAGGTTATGAAGATATATTGTGCCTGTAGAATGCTTGGATAAAAAAAATTGCTATCATATCTGTCTATCAACTATTTGAGCTTATTTTTCACATATGACTTTCAGAGTTGGTCAGGGTCATTCATTTGAACCAACTTGCATTGAAGCATCCTTGGAACCAGGAAATCAATTTTTATTTAAAGAAAACATTTTGTCGATCTAGGTGCCGAGATTTGGAACCCAAGTAGGGGAAATATTTGCAACATATTATTGTCAATGAGAATTTTCACAAACACTTAAACATAATAACTAGGGAACAATCATACCTAGGGATCCATACAAGACCTTGTCTCTGCTTTTCAGACATGATAAAACATTCAGTACTAGGTCGTACGTACCTAGATTAACAGGCTGAATTTCAGTTGAAATGTATCTTTGAAAATTCATAATGGTGGATTTTCATCTTATTCAATGTTTAAAGACCTTATGAGACATTCTTTTTGGTATATCACACAATACTCATTATGTGTTACATCACAAAACTCAATACATGTATTTCAGTTTTTGAAATGCTCCATAAATATGTTATCAAAATATTCAATATGAGTGGCAAGACAATGTTCAATATATATGTATATTCAGAATGTACAGTATTCCAATTTAATACTCAATGTCTGCATATCTGGAAACTCAATAGGAGTGACATCACAATGTCCTGTATAGAGAATACTCTTGTTGAGGACCATGTAAATGTCATGAGTGTGGCAGAACACAGAACTGTGTACCGAGTAGGCAGCACAACGTAACCGACCATAACAGTAACATTTAAATGGTAGTCAACGGGAAAACGGTTTAATTTCTATTCATTAATTATAAAAGTACCTATGATGACAAAAATGTTACTACATCCAAAAAGTGTGGGAATCAATTGCATAATTAATTTTTGTCACCATACTCAAAAGACGTCATGTCTGACAACAAAATTGTTTGTCATTTTGAATGGATCATTTTATACAATTCTTATTCAATGTTATTGTGCCTTTTATGCTACATTATCTTATATGCTATACTTAGAAAAATATAATCAATTGTGTAGTTATGTAAATATCTTATTGTATGTAGCAAAGATGTACCAAAACAAACACTCACACAAAAAATCTGCAGCTTTGAATGCAATGAATGAAAGTACTGTTCTGATTGGTCGATACTAAATGTGATACCTTCACCCTGTGACAGATACCATTTGACATATGTCGCAGAGTGTAAAAAGTCAGTTAAATCAAGTTGATAGAATCTGATATCTCGTCTGAAAAAATGTAATAAATGACAATATTCAATATTTCTGATATCACAATACTCCATATGTATGCTAGTGTTAACTCATCACTGTACAGAAACATGTACAATACTCTCTCAGAGACACCCTACTCTTAGAATAGTAACCACACAATACACTCTTGTCTTTACATTGGGAAGAATTCTGACACATTACACAATCAATATACACATACCCGTACCTGACTGTTGGCTACTAACTAGTCAATCAATACCTGTAATTGGTAAGGGTATGTAAGTACTACAACTGTAACAGGTGACCGGGGAAGGTTCCAGACAGCAAAACTAGGATCATTGTCCTGTCAGTTATAATGAAGACTTGATGAGCACCAACTGAAGTTGTTTGGGGAACTTCAGAAGGCCTAGGTTCTCCATGTGGAGACACTGTGGTTAGCATGACACCTTAGATGGACCATCACCAGAAGCTACCTGTGGAAACACTTTGTTACCATGACATTATAGATGGACCATCACTAGATGCTACCTGGGGAAACACTTTGTTACCATGACATTATTGATGGACCATCACTAGACGCTACCTGTGGAAACACTTTGTTACCATGACATAATAGATGGACCATCACCAGATGCTACCCGTGGAAACACTTTGCTACCATGACATTATAGATGGACTATCACTAAGATGCTACCTGTGCCTTGGAAACACTTTGTTACCATGACATTATAGATGGACCATCATTAGATGCTACCTGTGGAAACACTTTGTTACCATGACATTATAGATGGACCATCACCAGATGCTACCTGTGGAAACACTGTTACCATGACATTATAGATGGACCATCACTAGATGCTACCTGTGGAAACACTTTGTTACCATGACATTATAGATGGACTATCACTAAGATGCTACCTGTGCCTTGGAAACACTTTGTTACCATGACATTATAGATGGACCATCACTAGATGCCAGGGGCGGGTCCAGATGAGGGCGTAATGGGCGTACGCCCCCCCCTTTTCAAAATATGAAATGTTTCCCCTATTGGGCCCGCCCCTCAGGCCCCTGAGGGGCTAGACCCACGGTTTATACAAAATTGGTTCCCCTTCACCCAAGGATGGTTCAGACCAAATATGGAACAAATCCTTGCATTCCTACAGAAGAAGAAGGATATTAAAAAATTTGCTATATTTCCCCTATTGGGCCCCGCCCCTCAGCCCCCACGGGGGCCAGACCCACCGTTTATACAAAATTGGTTCCCCTTTACCCAAGGATGCTCCACACCAAATATGGAACAACTCCTTTCATTCCGACAGAAGAAGAAGAATTTTAAAGAATAATTTGCTATGTTTCCCCTATTGGGCCCCCCCCCCCCAGCCCCCAGGGGGGGGCCACACCCACCATTTATACAAAATTGAGAACCCTTGGCCCAAGGATGCTTCAGACTAAATTAGGATAAAATCCTTTAATCCCTACGGTAGAAGAAGGATTTTCAAGGTTTTACCTCTATTTCCCCTATTGGGCCCCGCCCTCTGCCCCCAGGGGGGCCACACCCACCGTTTATACAAAATTGAGTCCCCTTGGCCTAAGGATACTCTAGACCAAATTTAGTCAAAATCTACTTGGCCGTTCAGGACTAGTAGCATTTTAAAGGAAAAGGTGACGGACGGACAGACGACGGACGGACGACGGACGACAGACGCTGCGGGATGGCATAAGCTCACCATGGTCCTTCGGACCAGGTAAGCTAAAAACAAAAACAAAAAAGAACATGGACCCTCTACCAGGGCAACCGTAATTACGCCTCCCGTTCATAAAAACCTGGCCTAGGACTATTGAAATGTTTTTAAAAGTAACGCCTTATACCCTAGAATTGGGAATTTCTCGTTATTGGTCTACTGCTGTTAAGATCCATCCAATCATTTTAATATACCATAGACAATTAATGGAGAGAATTCGGCATAAAAAAAGTCAAACCCTGACACTTTAACTATAAAATATACATGCTCCAAGTCGGGAACCGTAACATTAGTGCATTTCACAATTATTTTACGTTTTTTAGCAAAAAAAAGGTCCAAAAAATGTTTTGCCTCGCTCCGCTCCGCTCGGCAAAAAAAGGTTGTATACTACGCCCCCTCTTTCAAATATCCTAAAAACGCCCCTGGATGCTACCTGTGGAAACACTTTGTTACCATGACATTATAGATGGACCATCTCTAGGTAATACTGTAGAAGTTATGGTTACCCTGATGTCATAGCAGGTCAGCAGTTGGTTCTGTGTATGGACAGTCTGTTGCTACACTGACATTATAAGTGGGCCATTAGTAGGTATTCCTTGATAAGCCTGGGAAGAGGCAAACCCTCCACTTTTTGTATGATGTGGAGATCTGATGAGGACTTGAGAAGAGATTTCCTGATTCGTAGACAGCTCAGAGTCCTCAGTGTTCTTGGTGTATCGGACAAAAACTTCATCAGGTAGAAGAGGTCAGGGTTCAGTATTAAGTTGACCATTTTTTCCTCTTTACATTTTTTCACCAGAGACTTGGTTACCTCAGCCCCTGCTTCCAGAAGAAGCTCTGGTATTTGTCGGTCCTGAAAATTACCAGTAATGGTGATTAACAAACATAACACATATCACAAAATCTTACCACTTCCCACTCAATTATGTATCACATGCTGTAAAACAGGAGCCCGGCATCCACTGAGAGTTGCATACAGAATTTAATTGCTTCTCTATCACGGCCAACCTGACACAGATCTCAGTGTGAAACAGCAACAGCTACGTAAAACCTTTCATACTGACAAATTATAAAGAACATCTATAGAAAAGAAATGTACCTGATGATAATTTTTTTATTAAACCAAAATCATTCCAGCCATGTATATATTACTACATACAAGGTTCAAACAAGATTTCATTTTGAGTTACGATGGTATATTTTACAAAAATCATGTTTAGAAATTTGAATTTGAAATAATTACTCAACTATTACACACATGAAGACTTTGTCAAAATTATTAATAAGAATAATGCAACAAGAATATAATAAAATACTTTTAAATTTCTTTTTCTAACATACCTCACAATATTGTAGAGACATGGAAAGTGGTGTATGTTCATTGTAAGCAATATGATTTGGGTCAGCACCATTTAATAGTAACATCCGAGTGGTGGGGACACATCCAGTACGACACGATAGATTCAATGCTGTCCATCCTCGAAGTTGAACAGCATCAATCCGAGCACCCCTCCTGATCAACAGCGACATGATTTTGTGATTACCATGCATGGCAGCTATATGTAAAGGGCGGAGAAGGGCGGTGTCCATCACATTGACATCACAGTCTTTGGCCAAGAGAATTGCCTTCACCATATCATAGTTATTCAAGTCCACAGCATGCCATAGACATGTACATCCGCGGTCGTCATAGTTATTCACATTGTATCCACCCTGAACCAATAATTTGATCATCTCCACCTGGTTTTTGACAATACAGGTGTACAAACAGGTAAGCTTTAAACAATCCTTCTTTTTGTATTCCCTCAAAGTGTAAGCGTAATTGTTAACATCCACTATGTATTTCAGGTTGGCATTTGCTTTTTTACTGATCAGTTCCTCGATAATATCTTTCTGTTGTTCCTGGACCCCTATCTCTAAAAGGGTTTTACCGAGGCGGTCGGGGCGATCAGTACTGCGGAAGGCGTGGTTCACATCTAGCCCCTTGTCTAGATACTCCTTTAGGGCCTGATGCTTCCCTGTCACAAGGACATCATACAGGTCGTCTTCAAAATAGTCCATAGTTCTGACCAACAGACAATTCTCCATCGAACTGGCATTTAGCAAGTCAGTCAGGACTTTTTGTAATGTGTTGGAGATACGTGTATGATTTTATTACCGGAGGGTCTCTATGATTTACATGAGATAATCATCATCACATAGACGATATGAATGTTGGTGGTTCTTTTTGCTTCTTGAAAATATTGAACGGTTGTGTTAATTCCTTATGACAAGGTAATATGTCAAGTTATTATAATTTGTCAAGTTGATATCGGGAATAAGTTTTGTTTTCCTGATAAAGCGCTTACACAGCTCCTTGATACCCTCACTAAGTTAATTCTGGGCTTGTACATAATTAATGGGATATCCAGACTTCTGTTGCTTTACTGCCCCATTGCCTCCACTTTCTCTTGAGAAAGTCAGCGCGGCGTGTTACCTTAATTACCGCTACATCTGTCACGCGATAGCTGTTAGCAAGGTCTAGCACGCCAGCACTTAACCAGGGTAAACGCTCTTTTCAAGTTCTTTCGAGCGATGACAACCCGGACACTTCATTTTTTTGCACTTTATAATGGTTTTCTTATTTCAAAAAAACAGTAGTTTGAACTTGGAATGTTTCATGTTGTCAACATTTCCTGTTCAAAGCCAGTAAATTGTACCGAAGCGTCATGTAACCAAGCTAGATTGGTCGACTTCCGGCAGGTGCCCAATTAGTACATAGTTAATGTACAGCCTTGAGAGTTTCCGAAAAAGATTGTTTCGTTGAATTTCGGGTATTATCATGTATTTCAAACGCGTATGAAACTTCGGCAACTTGGTTTCAAAATAGGGCGTCATCATTCTTGGCTAATCAGAATACTTTACGCTGTCAGCTTTTATCAATCAAACCATAGGTAAAGATTTGATTTCAAATATATTTGCCAATATTTGTTCTTCTGAAAGATTGTCATAATGCGACATTTTATTCATCTTCGGTACGGACAAAGCGCGGGAAAGTTGTTGCGAAGACGCTTGTAACTTCATAAATCTCCATATAGTACGAATCGGCAGTTTCTTTGTCATCGTTTTGATCTGGCGTGTTCCTCAGCTTATCTGAAGATCGCATCGATTTTGTTGCAATCGTACTTGCGAAAAGCGAGTTTTACCGCTGAATATATTCCAGTGTGTATTAAGAAAATGCCTGCAAAAGTTAAACGCAAGGTAGGCAAATACTGTCGAAAGTGCATTGTAGGCCTAATTTGTGGATGCAAGATCTATATTTCACAAATGTAATCTGCAAATTTTCATCTCATTTATCATTTTACTAATTGTTAATATATTATGTAAAAACGAAATCATATAAAACCTATTTATTTGTAAAAACAACCTTAGTTATTTCCCTTGTATCAAGAGGCAATACATTTTATAAAACAGCTAACTAGCCCGAGTTTCCTCTGGCCCTAACACCAGACAGTTAGACACATAAATGTCTGCTAACGTGAATTGTAATGATATATACACTATTTTCGTAATTTTTCAGTCAAAAAAGGATTCAACAGCTGACGAGGTGAGTCATATTAGTTAACAGACTTACCAGACCGCATTAAAGCCATTTTGGTCTCTAGAGTATAACATATAGATAGATAGATCGATAGACCTGTATTGTTGATATTGTAACAGGAGATGGCAAAATGCACAGAACTAAAGACCAGGGTTCAAAGACGTGGCCCCCCAAAACTTTAGATGGACTCTCTACAAATTGAGCTACCTGGATTTTAAGTTTTGTGGGGACAGCCGGAGAGCGTCCTTGAGCCAAGGGTCTCCATTTGTACAAACAGAGGATACAGCCTCTCTAGGGGTAAAAGGGATTGGGCCCATTAGGGACCCCATTGGAATTATTTAAGCCACAATGTGGCTTTGTTGGTCATCCCAGGTAAAGGCCTAAATGAATCTAATCCAATCCGGTTTTAACACCTGACTGATTACTAGTTTTATGGCATAAAACAACTTATAAATAACATCTGTGATATATATATTTATGTCCAATCTACAAAATGTGATATTTGTGTATTATTTGCCTTTTACCTGAATAAATATTATTATTATTATCAGGTATAAACCTTTAAAATCCTTTCCCTGCAGTATGACAGGAGGGATTAAACCAACTTTTGTGAAAAGCATCTCTTGGAAAAGGGGACTGAAATTTCTATAAACCATTAATGTGCACTAGTATTTGAAAACCAGTTGAGAATATTTTTCCATTTGATAATTAAGTATCCAGACAAGTGATACAGGCCCTCTGGGCCTCTTGTTGCAAATATGATTGCCAGATTTATTGATATTCGCATCTGTATGCCTGTTATAACAAAATGACTAAACTGATTTTGTATTTTTAGACGTAATTTATTTTTCAACAATAACCATTAAAGTCAACAAATATAATAGGTGGTACCTAAATTCTTTAAAACACCTACATTGTATAGATATAGACAAAAACATGACGGACCCTGAGTACTGAGTAGATATACACACAAACATAACAGACTCTGAGTAGATATAGACACAAACATAACAGACCCTGAGTAGATATAGACACAAACATAACAGACCCTGAGTAGATATAGACACAAACATAACAGACCCTGAGTAGATATAGACACAAACATAACAGACCCTGAGTAGATATAGACACAAACATAACAGACCCTGAGTAGATATAGACACAAACATAACAGACCCTGAGTAGATATAGACACAAACATAACAGACCCTGAGTAGATATAGACACAAACATAACAGACCCTGAGTAGATATAGACACAAACATAACAGACCCTGAGTAGATATAGACACAAACATAACAGACCCTGAGTAGATATAGACACAAACATAACAGACCCTGAGTAGATATAGACACAAACATAACAGACCCTGAGTAGATATAGACACAAACATAACAGACCCTGAGTAGATATAGACACAAACATAACAGACCCTGAGTAGATATAGACACAAACATAACAGACCCTGAGTAGATATAGACACAAACATAACAGACCCTGAGTAGATATAGACACAAACATAACAGACCCTGAGTAGATATAGACACAAACATAACAGACCCTGAGTAGATATAGACACAAACATAACAGACCCTGAGTAGATATAGACACAAACATAACAGACCCTGAGTAGATATAGACACAAACATAACAGACCCTGAGTAGATATAGACACAAACATAACAGACCCTGAGTAGATATAGACACAAACATAACAGACCCTGAGTAGATATAGACACAAACATAACAGACCCTGAGTAGATATAGACACAAACATAACGGACCCTGAGTAGATATAGACACAAACATAACAGACCCTGAGTAGATATAGACACAAACATAACAGACCCTGAGTAGATATAGACACAAACATAACAGACCCTGAGTAGATATAGACACAAACATAACAGACCCTGAGTAGATATAGACACAAACATAACAGACCCTGAGTAGATATAGACACAAACATAACAGACCCTGAGTAGATATAGACACAAACATAACAGACCCTGAGTAGATATAGACACAAACATAACAGACCCTGAGTAGATATAGACACAAACATAACAGACCCTGAGTAGATATAGACACAAACATAACAGACCCTGAGTAGATATAGACACAAACATAACAGACCCTGAGTAGATATAGACACAAACATAACAGACCCTGAGTAGATATAGACACAAACATAACAGACCCTGAGTAGATATAGACACAAACATAACAGACCCTGAGTAGATATAGACACAAACATAACAGACCCTGAGTAGATATAGACACAAACATAACAGACCCTGAGTAGATATAGACACAAACATAACAGACCCTGAGTAGATATAGACACAAACATAACAGACCCTGAGTAGATATAGACACAAACATAACAGACCCTGAGTAGATATAGACACAAACATAACAGACCCTGAGTAGATATAGACACAAACATAACAGACCCTGAGTAGATATAGACACAAACATAACAGACCCTGAGTAGATATAGACACAAACATAACAGACCCTGAGTAGATATAGACACAAACATAACAGACCCTGAGTAGATATAGACACAAACATAACAGACCCTGAGTAGATATAGACACAAACATAACAGACCCTGAGTAGATATAGACACAAACATAACAGACCCTGAGTAGATATAGACACAAACATAACAGACCCTGAGTAGATATAGACACAAACATAACAGACCCTGAGTAGATATAGACACAAACATAACAGACCCTGAGTAGATATAGACACAAACATAACAGACCCTGAGTAGATATAGACACAAACATAACAGACCCTGAGTAGATATAGACACAAACATAACAGACCCTGAGTAGATATAGACACAAACATAACAGACCCTGAGTAGATATAGACACAAACATAACAGACCCTGAGTAGATATAGACACAAACATAACAGACCCTGAGTAGATATAGACACAAACATAACAGACCCTGAGTAGATATAGACACAAACATAACAGACCCTGAGTAGATATAGACACAAACATAACAGACCCTGAGTAGATATAGACACAAACATAACAGACCCTGAGTAGATATAGACACAAACATAACAGACCCTGAGTAGATATAGACACAAACATAACAGACCCTGAGTAGATATAGACACAAACATAACAGACCCTGAGTAGATATAGACACAAACATAACAGACCCTGAGTAGATATAGACACAAACATAACAGACCCTGAGTAGATATAGACACAAACATAACAGACCCTGAGTAGATATAGACACAAACATAACAGACCCTGAGTAGATATAGACACAAACATAACAGACCCTGAGTAGATATAGACACAAACATAACAGACCCTGAGTAGATATAGACACAAACATAACAGACCCTGAGTAGATATAGACACAAACATAACAGACCCTGAGTAGATATAGACACAAACATAACAGACCCTGAGTAGATATAGACACAAACATAACAGACCCTGAGTAGATATAGACACAAACATAACAGACCCTGAGTAGATATAGACACAAACATAACAGACCCTGAGTAGATATAGACACAAACATAACAGACCCTGAGTAGATATAGACACAAACATAACAGACCCTGAGTAGATATAGACACAAACATAACAGACCCTGAGTAGATATAGACACAAACATAACAGACCCTGAGTAGATATAGACACAAACATAACAGACCCTGAGTAGATATAGACACAAACATAACAGACCCTGAGTAGATATAGACACAAACATAACAGACCCTGAGTAGATATAGACACAAACATAACAGACCCTGAGTAGATATAGACACAAACATAACAGACCCTGAGTAGATATAGACACAAACATAACAGACCCTGAGTAGATATAGACACAAACATAACAGACCCTGAGTAGATATAGACACAAACATAACAGACCCTGAGTAGATATAGACACAAACATAACAGACCCTGAGTAGATATAGACACAAACATAACAGACCCTGAGTAGATATAGACACAAACATAACGGACCCTGAGTAGATATAGACACAAACATAACAGACCCTGAGTAGATATAGACACAAACATAACAGACCCTGAGTAGATATAGACACAAACATAACAGACCCTGAGTAGATATAGACACAAACATAACAGACCCTGAGTAGATATAGACACAAACATAACAGACCCTGAGTAGATATAGACACAAACATAACAGACCCTGAGTAGATATAGACACAAACATAACAGACCCTGAGTAGATATAGACACAAACATAACAGACCCTGAGTAGATATAGACACAAACATAACAGACCCTGAGTAGATATAGACACAAACATAACAGACCCTGAGTAGATATAGACACAAACATAACAGACCCTGAGTAGATATAGACACAAACATAACAGACCCTGAGTAGATATAGACACAAACATAACAGACCCTGAGTAGATATAGACACAAACATAACAGACCCTGAGTAGATATAGACACAAACATAACAGACCCTGAGTAGATATAGACACAAACATAACAGACCCTGAGTAGATATAGACACAAACATAACAGACCCTGAGTAGATATAGACACAAACATAACAGACCCTGAGTAGATATAGACACAAACATAACAGACCCTGAGTAGATATAGACACAAACATAACAGACCCTGAGTAGATATAGACACAAACATAACGGACCCTGAGTAGATATAGACACAAACATAACAGACCCTGAGTAGATATAGACACAAACATAACAGACCCTGAGTAGATATAGACACAAACATAACAGACCCTGAGTAGATATAGACACAAACATAACAGACCCTGAGTAGATATAGACACAAACATAACAGACCCTGAGTAGATATAGACACAAACATAACAGACCCTGAGTAGATATAGACACAAACATAACAGACCCTGAGTAGATATAGACACAAACATAACAGACCCTGAGTAGATATAGACACAAACATAACAGACCCTGAGTAGATATAGACACAAACATAACAGACCCTGAGTAGATATAGACACAAACATAACAGACCCTGAGTAGATATAGACACAAACATAACAGACCCTGAGTAGATATAGACACAAACATAACAGACCCTGAGTAGATATAGACACAAACATAACAGACCCTGAGTAGATATAGACACAAACATAACAGACCCTGAGTAGATATAGACACAAACATAACAGACCCTGAGTAGATATAGACACAAACATAACAGACCCTGAGTAGATATAGACACAAACATAACAGACCCTGAGTAGATATAGACACAAACATAACAGACCCTGAGTAGATATAGACACAAACATAACAGACCCTGAGTAGATATAGACACAAACATAACAGACCCTGAGTAGATATAGACACAAACATAACAGACCCTGAGTAGATATAGACACAAACATAACAGACCCTGAGTAGATATAGACACAAACATAACAGACCCTGAGTAGATATAGACACAAACATAACAGACCCTGAGTAGATATAGACACAAACATAACAGACCCTGAGTAGATATAGACACAAACATAACAGACCCTGAGTAGATATAGACACAAACATAACAGACCCTGAGTAGATATAGACACAAACATAACAGACCCTGAGTAGACACAAACATAACGGACCCTGAGAAGATATAGACACAAACTTAACAGACCCTGAGTAGATATAGACACAAACATAACAGACCCTGAGTAGATATAGACACAAACATAACAGACCCTGAGTAGACACAAACATAACAGACCCGGAGTAGATATAGACACAAACATAATGCAGACCCTGAGTAAATATGGACACAAACATAACGGATCCTGAGTAGATATAGACACAAAAATTATATTCTGCATTGTTGGGTTATATTAAAATGATATGAGGATTTTTATTTAGAGTTTTGTAGTGTATAGTCATATTTGAAATACAGACCTTATACTTACTTAATTCAATATTTTTTAAGATTTTGACTGACAATGCTTAGTTGACTGTACAGTTCAAAACAGTATTACACACAAAAGTTAATTCATCATAACTGTGATTTTTTTAGGTCACCTGAGCTTTAGCTCAAGTGACCTATTGCTATCTGTCTTCGTCCGTCGTCGTCCATCGTCCGTTAACATTTTACATTTTCAACACGTCTGCGTGCTTGGTTAAAGGTAAATGAATGAGAAATAATAAATTCATAATAGAGGTAAGATTTGATCAGAAATCCATTATGGCCGCCACGGCCGCCATTTTGAAAAACTATTTCAAACTTAGAGTCAAGTTCTGCGGGGCCGATTGAACTGAAACTTTGTAGGAATGATCGACTCATGGTCCTGACAAAGTGTTGTTATTTTTCGGGTCGATCAGAAATCCAATATGGCCACCACAGCCGCCATTTTGAAAAACTATTTCAAACTTAAAGTCAAGTTCTATTGGGCCGATTGAACTGAAACTTTGTAGGAATGATCGACTCATGGTCTTGACAAAGTGTTGTTATTTTTCAGGTCGATCAGAAATCCAATATGGCCGACACGGCCGCCATTTTGAAAAAAATATTTCAAACTTAAAAACAAGTTCCTAAAGGCCGTTTTAACTGAAACTCGGTCTAGGAATGATCAGCTCATGGTCCTGACAAACTTAAGTTAACGTTATACTTAACTATTTTGTACTCAAATTGGTACATATTTTAACAACAAAAATAAATACTGTAGGACTCAGGTGACCATTTAGGTCCATGGGCCTCTTGTTAAAATATTAAACTGAAATTTGGCATATAGGGGTATTATAGTCATCTAAACAACATATCTTCTGATGTCTCTTATTCTTGGCTAATTGGTTTCCATGCAATAGCTGCCCTACTAATGGGTCATTTTCAATGTTAAGTCTTTGTTGTGAAATTTTATGCACATACATGTTGACATGTCTCAAGGTTGCATCTCAAACATGCAAGTGAGGGACAGGAATTCCACCAATTGGCTTGTTCCAATGCAATATAGCTGTGGTTAATTAGTGCTAAAAGATTGATTTAAGCATGCATACAGCCCTGGATTTACATGTAAATGGTTCAGAATTGTTTGATTATACTGCAAGGTTTCACCTATTTATGAAGTTGTTCATATGCTGAATAATATGATTATGTTGATCAAAGCACATTTTATTTGCAGTATACACATATTTATTATGATATAAATTACTATGTTGTTGACAGGAACCAACAGCAAAGCAAGCCAAAGGTGATGAAGCAAGTACCTCAGTATGTATTACCTTCTACTTCTGGTTTTTGGTGTTTGAATCCTTAATCTTGGGGGTATGGCTAATAGAAGCTCTCCCTACTGAGAATGTCATCTGTAACAGAATCTGTCCCAAATACAGGGTCCATCTTCAGGTAGTTCAGTGGATTGTGGTTGAACATTTTCAAAATAAGAAGATGTACAATATTTTCCAATCCAGAATAAAGCAAATTTTGAAGAATTACTGGAGTTTCTTTGGGATCATTTTCATTTTACATTTCTTTGTCCTGTTGACATAAAAGAATCTTCATTGAGTCTAATTTAAGAATTGTTTCTTTATATTCAAACATGAAAATGAAGCAGACTTGCCAAAGAATTCTGAGCCCTGATTTGTATTTCCCCACGTTTCAGAATGGCGATACAAAAGCTAAACCCAAAAAGGAGGATAGTCTGGCGACCTTGCCTGAGGGCACAGACACCAGCTTCCCCACAGAGTTCAATCCTGATAAGGTCACAGCTGACGGACGGAAGGCCACATTGAAAATCACATCCTGGAATGTCAATGGACTGCGTGCTTGGTTAAAGGTAAATGAATGAGAAATAATAAATTCATAATAGAGGTAAGATTTGATTGTAACCTTCATAAACCGACACTATTTTACAGAGACAGTATGAAGTTACGTAATCTTCTTGGTTCATTGTCTATATTGTACCCTTTACCTGGAGTAGGATATAACAGAGAAGTAGCTCAAAATTAATGTAATATTTACAGGGAGATGGTCTGAATTACCTCAAGACCCACAATCCGGATATTCTCTGTGTCCAAGAGACCAAGTGTTCCCTAACTAAGTTACCTAAGGAAGTGGAGTATGAGGGTTACCATGCCTTCTGGTATTCAGCTGATACTGAAGGCTACGCTGGAACTGGCATGTACACCAAAACCAAACCCATCAGCCTCACAAATGGAATAGGTAAGTCTAGCTCTGTAATGTGGTTCAGTGTCGGACATGTCGTATAAATGTGAGAGTAACAGACCCCTGCTTTCCTGTGAAAGTAGGTGAACATAACATAGTCACAGATTTAGTACACCTGTAACTATGAAAGTGATCAGTAAATCCTCAACAGAACAGTTAAAGCCAATTCCTTAAAAGACATGTCTCAATATCTGTTAAATGTTTGATACAAAGCCAAAACAGGTTCTCGCAGTAAGATTAGTCACCATTGCCTACGAAGCTGTCAGCATATCTATGGATCTACACTGTGGTCTTTGTAAATATTTTCAGTGATATTTGTGTCACCTCATAAATGGAATAGGGATGTCACTGCCAAGTTTGAAAACATCTAGAGTGTCCTTCCCGTTGTACATTTCCAGGTATTGACAAGCATGACTCAGAGGGCCGCATCATTACTGCTGAGTTTGAAAAGTTCTTTCTTGTCACCTCATGTAAGTAAATCTCGCTATCTGTCTTGGTGCAGAATTTTTCCAATGCGCATGCGTTGATGCCTTACCATAGCAATGCAAATTGCGTTGCTATGCAGAAATAGCCAAAATATGAACATTGGCATGACAATGAACACTGGCATGACAATGAGCACTGGTATGACAATGAACATTGGTATGACAATGAACACTGGTATGACAATGAACACTGGTATGACTATGAACACTGGTATGACAATGAACACTGGTATGACAATGTACACTGGCATGACAATGAACACTGGTATGACAATGAACCCTGGCATGACAGTGACCACTGGTATGACAGTGACCACTGGTATGACAATGAACACTGGCATGACAATGAACCCTGGCATGACAATGAACACTGGCATGGCAATGAACACTGGTATGACAATGAACACTGGCATGGCAATGAACACTGGCATGACAATGAACACTTGCATGACAATGAACACTGGCATGACAATGAACACTGGTATAACAATGAACACTGGCATGACAATGAACACTGGTATGACAATGAACACTGGTATGACAATGAGTGTTTAGTTAATTTCCTTCAAAATGGTCAATTTTCAACCAAATGGCACACGGCAGGCGATATTCATGCATTTTATTATGAAAATGTGGGTTTATGTCTGTCTTTGAAGTGCCATATCTCCTTAACCAGTTGTCAAATGAATTTGAAATTTCATATTTGCGTACTTCATTAATTCCAGATTACGAATATAGCAACTAATTCTTAATCCCCAATGAGGCTGGGAACGACCCTTAACGCCCCGAGTCCTTTGGACTCATGCTTGGTACAATATTGTAGACTGAGTATATGGGCAAAATGTAAACATCTTATTTTGATCTCGGGTTAGACATGAACTATCATTCGGGAGTTGGATTGCTTCTTTAGTTTCAGAGTGACTGCCATTAACTATTTCCTTAAATCTACATAATGTAACAATATTTGTTTATTTTCCCAAAGATTTGTATACAATCTGTAGTGATTAACCATTATAGCATGCACACAATGTGCTCAGCCTTATTAGAAGGCAATGCAGATGTTCTTGCTATTGATTACACATCAAAGATAACAGTATAGAATAAAGTGCATTAAAATGTGTATAAAAGTTGTAGAGCATGAACAGGAAGACAAATGAACAGCAGGTAGATATATAAACATTGATGTGTTTTGATTTTTTTTTTAAATATTGAAAAAAAAAATCAATCAGCTTATAGAGGAAAGCTTTTAAAGTTTTAATGCTGCTATAAATCATTATGTGAACTTTAATGTGGTGCATTGCAGATGTTCCAAACTCAGGAAAAGGTCTGGTGAGGTTGAACTACAGAACCAAGGAGTGGGACATAGATTTCCGCGGGTACCTGAAGAAGTTAGATGCCAAGAAACCTGTAATTTTGTGTGGAGACCTTAATGTCGCACACACACCTGCAGGTAAGCCTCCATCATACTTGTCACGCCACAGTCCTAACTATATTATTTTTACAACCCAAACCCCACCTCCTCCCACAACAACCATTTTTAGCTCTCCTATTCGGAGAATAGGGGGGCTAATGTAGTCATCCCGGCGTCAGCTTCCCACTTTCTGAGGTTAAAGTTTTTGGGCAAGTTCAAGTTTTTTCCAGACAGTGTTGGATCATCACACTCAATACACAGTTGTCTATTATGATTTTAAGTCATTTATATCGAGTGAAAGGAATGTGCTGGACTATATTTTCATATTTAATGGCCAAGTGAGCTTATGGCATGGTGCGTCGTCCGTCCGGCGTCCGGCGTCCGGCATAAACTTTTTACTTTAAACAACTTCTTCTCAGTAACCAAAAGGCCTAGGGTGATGATATTTGGCCAGAAGCATGCTGGGATGAAGGGCTACTAAGTTTGTTCAAATAAATGACCTTGATTTATATTCAAGGTCACAGGGGTCAAATATGTTTAAAACCTTTAAACAACTTCTTCTGAATAACCGAGAGGCCTAGGGTGATGATATTTGGCCAGTAACATGCTTAGATGAAGGGCTACCAAGTTTGTTAAAATAAATGACCTTTATCAATTTTCAAGGTCACAGGGGTCAAATATATGAAAATATTTAAACAACTTCTGAATAACCAAGAGGCATAGGGTGAAGAAATTTAGCCATTAACACGCTGGGATGAAGGGTTACCAAGTTTGTTCAAATATGTTTAAAACCTTTAAACAACTTCTTCACCCATATTCAAGGTCACAGGGGTCAAATATGTTAAAAACTTTAAACAACTTCTTCTGAATAACCAAAATGCTCTGGGTGATGATATTTGGCCAGTAGCATGCTAGGGTAAAGGGCTATCAAGATTGTTCAAATGAATGACCTTCACCTATATTCAAGGTCACAAGGAGCAAATATATTCAAAATATTTCAACAACTTCTTCTGAATAACCAAAATGCACAGGGTGATGATATTTGGCCAGTAATCTGCTGAGATGAAGGGCTACAAAGTTTGTTCAAATGCATGACCTTCACCTATATTCAAGGTCACAAGGAGCAAATATATTCAAAATATTTCAACAACTTCTTCTGAATAACCAAAAAGCTCAGGATGTTGATATTTAGTCAGTAGCATATGCTCGGATCAAGGACTCCTATGTTTGTTAAAGTGAATGACTTTGACTTATATTCAAGGTCACAGGGGTCAAATTTGTTTAAAATCTTTAAACAACCTCTTATGAATAACCATGGGTCCCAGGATGTTTATACTTTGCAAGTTGCATCCTGAGATGAAAGGCTATACAATGTGTTCAACATAATGACTTTGTTCGACCTTCAAACACAGGGGTGAAATGTTTTAAAAAAAATTAAAAGGGTCTTTTGAATGAATTTTAATCATAAAAACTGATATTTTGCCTGTAGCTTTATTTTAGATCACTTTTAAGGTTACAAGTGTGAGTTTTATACCAGGTGAGCGATGCAGGCCCATTGGGCCTCTTGTTTCCTTTTGGTACAATGTTTGAATTAGGTCAAGGGGACGGGACACTGATGACATTATGGATATAATGTTATCTTCTGTTTTCCTTTTTCTTCAGATTTGAAGAATCCAAAGACAAACAAGAAGACGCCCGGGTTTACAGAGGCGGAGAGAGAGGAGTTCACAAAGTTACTGGGAGAGGGATATGTGGATTCCTTCAGAGAGCTCTATCCCAATGCACGAGACTGTTTCTCTTTCTGGACTTACATGATGAATGCCCGTGCCAAGAACGTGGGCTGGTGAGTCGCCACAGAATGGTTGCCTGGAGGAATGTCTTGTTTAACAGTTGTCTCCTAAAAGATTACGAAAATTTGTGAAAAGATTTATTATCCTTTCGCAACGAAAGTTCGCTGGGATATAGGATTCCGCAAGTACTTATGTTACACTCCTTGGTATCGCTCTAGCGACCTCATTCCTGAACTGAATTTCATGAAACTTGATACAAGTGTAAAGTATGACAATACATTGAACAAGTTCGCATTTTGGGTTTCTACGTTACAGGTCAAGGTCACTGCTACTATTTTTAGCCCACCATCATATTCAAATCGCCCTGCGTCCGGGTCCGTCATCTGTCCTTAAACAATTCTTGTTATCGGTATTTCTCAAGAAGTACCAGAGGGATTTTTCTCAAATTTTATATGTAGGTTCCCCTTGGTCCTAAGCTGTGCAGGGCAACTTTTGAGACTGATCGGATAAACAACATGGCCGTCAGGAAGCCATCTTAAATTTTGTTAGTGAAAGTTTGTTATCGCTATTTCTTGGGAAGTACCAGAGGCATCTGTCTCAAATTTTATGTGTAGGTTCCCCTTGGTCCTAAGCTGTGCAGGGCAACTTTTGAGACTGATCGGATAAACAACATGGCCGACAGGAAGCCATCTTAAATTTTGTTAGTGAAAGTTTGTTATCGCTATTTCTTGGGAAGTACCAGAGGCATCTTTCTCAAATTTTATATGTAGGTTTCCCTTGTTCCTTTGTTGTTGCAGCAGTGCCTAAAATGGACGGTCACCTGCTCGCCAATGGCGGTTAAAGTCTCGCTCGAGCGACCAAAAGTTGTCAAAAGTGAGGTATAGTCACTGGCCCAACAAAAATAGTTTGGGGGACTGTCGAAAAATTAATGAATAAAAGAAATTATAGTCCCTTCCACATTAACTGGGGGGCAGTACATTTTTCAGTTGTCATTACTTTGATTTGAATCGAACTGTCCGTGATTTAGAAAATGTGATAAAAAAAATCAGATTTTCTATATAAATACTGCCAGGTTGTCTTCTTTGAGGTGCAAGTTTTGTGTATTTCTTTTTGGGAAGACCTGAATGGAGTGGATCATGTCAGGTTTTAACTAGGGTTGAAGAATGAAAAATATAATGTTTTATTCTGTTTAACATATTACAAACATTGTCATGTTATATGTAATTTAAATGTGCTGAAGCATTGTGCTAAATACTGTGGAAATATTTCTTCCCAAAATTATTTGGGCCACCAATATGTCATTTGGGACAGTGCTTCAAATTTTTTACTTGGCCAAATTATTTTTTTGGGCAAGCCAATGCAGGTTCCCCACTATCCTTTATTGTTCATGTTTACTTTTGAAACTGATCAGTTAAACAAAATGGCCTTCCGACAGCCATCTAGGATTTTTGACATTGAAGGTTTGTTAGTACTATTTCTCAGGAATAACTTGAGGGATCTTCTCAAATTTGATATGTAGGTTCCCCTTGACCCCTCGTTGTGCATGTTATATTTTGGGACTGATCATAAAAACAAAATGACTAAAGGAAGAACTAAACAGATCTTTCTCATATTGCAATGATTGATTCTATTTCTTTCACATTAAGTACTGTACTAGTAAATATGTGAAATGACAAACTCACTTTGAAGGTTGGCTTTCATATACACATCAGTATTAAGTTTAGATAAAAAGTTACCTCAAGGTGCATTTACTGTTAACATGACTCGATCAAACAGATTAGAGGAAAGAAGAGAAAAGATCAAATTGACAAAGAACTAATGAAGATGGTACAATGATGGGCGCCAAGATCCCTCTGGGATCTCTTGTTAGAAAAACTTGTTCATCACTCTTGTGATTCATTCCTCAACGGAATTTCATAAAAGTGTTATGTATGACAATACCTTGAACAAGTTTCCATTTCGGGTTTGGTACGGCAATGCCTTGGACAAGATCATGTTTCTTGTTTCTATGTTTAAGGTCAAGGTCACTTACTAATTTTAGAAATACTTTGTCATTACTCTACCAACTTCATTCCTCAACGAAATTTCATGAAACTTCATATAAGTGTTTGGTATGACAATATCTTGAACAATTTCGCGTTTCAGGTTACTGCGTTAAAGGTCAAGGTCACTTTTACTACTTTTTATGCCCCTGCCATGAAATTGGGGGGCATATAGTGTTGCCCATGTCTGTCCCGTCCCGTCCCGATCCGATTCAATGTAAACACTTAGCAACTTCATTCTTTGACAGATTTTGGTCAAACTTTATACAAAGGTCAAGTACGAGTATACTTCAGACATATTTGTGTTTCAGGGATCCAAGGTCAAGGCCCAGGTCACTGTTGCTATATATAGAAAATCATCAACTGATTCAATTTAAACACTTATCAACTTCATTTTTTCACAGATTTTGGTCAAACTTTATATAAAGGTCAAATATGGGTATACCTCTGACATCCTTGTGTTTCAGGATGGTAATAACAACAGAAAAACACCATATGAATATTAAAATCAACTTATCAACTTTAAGTGTAGTACCTTGTGTGTCAAGCAATTAAAATAAATTATCACAGCGGTAACTGTGTAGACTTGAAGCCGAATGATATTTTCAATATTTAAAATTGACTTTTTGATCATTGACATGATTTAGGTGAGATACAAGAAAGCTGGCTTGAGCACAGAATCCATGCTTGAGCATGAGAACGGGGTCATGAATACGGGCCCTGATCTCTTTAGGCTTACAGTTTCACTTGATTGGTCACATACTTAATTCATCAATAATAAATGATATTTATACAACGGATTGATAACACATGTCAATTTCAGTAAACACGTACCTTTTTTTTAGATGAATTGTTCAAGTATCTTAAAATATTCGTCTGTGAATGGCTGTGTCAAAAAAAAATCACACCAAATGTGAAATCGGTATATAAACTAGAATAGGAACACGGTCTGATGGAATCTGGAATTGTAAAGTTCATATAGTTTTCACATTTACGTTGTGTACATTCTTTCGAGTAGTAGAAATAGTTGTTGTATTTATATTCGTGGTTACATATAGCAACATCGAAAACAACGAAAGTTTATGCACGACGAACATTTCATGTTATTTAGTAAATATTGGCTGATTGTTTGAGAATGTAAAAACCATTGAAGTCACAAACAATGCTATGGTATGGTAGGGTTGTTAAGTGACAAACAATGCTATGGAATGGTAGGGTTGTTAAGTGACAAACAATGTTATGGAATGGTAGGGTTGTTAAGTGATAAACAATGTTATGGTATGGTAGGGTTGTTAAGTGACAAACAATCCTATGGTATGGTAGGGTTGTTAAGTGACAAACAATGGTATGGTATGGTATGGTTGTTAAGTGACAAACAATGTTATGGTATGGTAGGGTTTTTAAGTGACAAACAATGCTATGGTATGGTAGGGTTGATTGTGATATGCAGTGGTAATAATGGAATATTGTTTGTTTTCTTTCAGGCGACTTGACTACTTTGTTCTCTCTGAACGCTTGAAAACAGATCTGTGTGACAGCATCATCCAGCAAAGCATCATGGGTAGTGACCACTGCCCAATTATGCTGTCTATGGCTCTAGATCTGTGATTCATCGAAGAGAAGAGCCCAGTGATACAACAGAGGGGAGATGTCTCTCAGAACAGAGCAGCTCTTTTCACCGTGTCAAAACCTTTTTTTATAATAAAGAAAATGGTTCATTACAAATCAGCCAGTGGAATGATGGGTTACAGATGTAATCAAACTAGCCAATGGAATGATTGGTTGCAGATGTTATCAATTCAACCAATGAAATGATTGGTTACAGATGGTCAGCCAATGAAAAGATTGGTTACAGATGGTCAGCCAATGAAATGATTGGTAACATAGTTGCGAATGAATCATTAAGTAGTGGTTACTAAACTGAGGTATTAATTACAAACACTGGAACAGGACCTTTCTCAGATGATGACAGTTTATCAGTTACATGGAGATATCAATGTCCTAATAAGGAAGTACTACCCTACAAAAATAACATCTCAACTCTTCTTAAACAATCTACTTCTGTACTACAGGGGATGTAGAGTCTGCTTGTAGCAGCCAGGAAGTAATGTAGTACAAACTGTAGTTAACTATTGCCAGCTCAATTGTTATCGTGTACTCTTCCTACCTTGATTTATGCTATTAATAAAATAGTGTATCAAAAAGTAAAATGTTTTACCTGTTACTTGCTATTAAAAGTGAAATGTTTTTTACTTGGTATCAGAAGTTCAGTGGGTTTTTCCCTCGTTAGTATCAGAAGACTTTTTTGCTGAGAGTCTGCTCCTGATTCCATATCATATCGACAGGTTACAGGGTCAGCGACAATACATGTTTGATATTTATTAAGTGAACATTTTTTTGTTTCGTAATGTCTGGATATATCTTAAATGTAGCATGCTATCTGTATTCCTACATATGTTGCTCTTTGGTTGTCACACCTGCAGGTTTTGTAATGGAAACCTGTGGGCTGTGTACATGGGGTGTATATTTTGTATGTTTGAGTATGGAAGTGATCATGTGATTCAGTCACCTATCATATTTAGTCGAATGTTATGATATCTCTACAGATTTACAGATATTGTGTAAAGCTTTAGACCAGGTGTTATCAGTGGGTTATCACGAGTGTAACATCAATCAATACTGTCAATTCATTCACAAATAAAACATGTCACAAGAAATGTCTTTTTGTCATGTGTTGTAATATAGAAATGTTTCGGAGATGGTTTCCATACTGACACATGTTTTGTCCTGTTGCTGTTATCGTAGATACATTATATATTATTTGTGATTTAATCACTGTTATTAGCTAACCGTCGGTCAACTTTTTCTTTTGAACAACTTCTTCTGGAGAACTGTAGGACCTAGGGTCATGATATTTGGCCAGTACGTGTAGGTACCTGGGATGGAGTGCTTTAAAGTTTCCTCATTTAAATGACCTTGACCTACTTTCAAGGTCACAGGGGTCAAATATGTTAAAAATTTCAAACAACAATATCCTAAGAACCATTTGAACTAGAGTCATTATACTTGGGTATGTTATGTAGACCAGCAGTGCAAATATTTTTTTCAATCACAGTTATGAGGCCAAAGGTCAACTTAAAGTGCTAGTTGGGGGTCAAATGTCAACTTTGGTTGAAAGCTTTAACAATCTTCTCAAGTTCCATTAGGCCCAGGGTCATGATATTTGGCCAGTAGGTTCCTGGGATGAAGTGCTATAAAGTTTCCTCATTAAAATGACCTTGACCTATTTTCAAGGTCACTGGGGTCAAATATGTTAAAAACTTCAAACAACAATATCCTAAGAACCGTTGGGGACTCTGTCATGATACTTGGGTATGTTATGTAGACCAGCAGTGCAAATCTTTTTTCTCAATCACAGTAATGAGGTCAAATGTCAACTTTAAGTGCAGGTCGGTAGTCAAAGGTCAATATGAGCTAAAAGCTTTAAAATAAAAATTTCAATTTTCAAACAACAATATCTTCGGAACCGTTTAAGAGATGTTTAAATGTCTTGTGTTCTAGTTACCAAATTTGGTCTTAAGTTACCTATATGTCAGTAGCATGTAACAAAAGAAACAGGAGAGCGATACAGGCCCTCTGGTCCTCTTGTTATATACCCTTTTAGAAAATATCAACAGAAAAAAAAATGTTTAGTTGCAAATTTTAATTTGTAAATAGAGAATGATGAATTCAAGCCTGACAGAACACCTTAAGTGATATATATAAACATTGTAGGGCTTAAACTTCAAAAAGTCCATTTTACAGTATGTACTAAAAGCTACCAAAGATCTGCAGTTGAACAGAAGACGAATTCCTTATAAGGTTCCTATTATTTGAGGGCCCGACCCCTCATGAGGCCCTGTATCAGATGTGGGAGCATGATATACTTATTACAGTCTCTGTCCCTCTGTGTACACTTTCATGTCTGGAGAATATCTCAGAATCCAGACATCTTCAATTGCTGAAATTAACATGATGTTACGCTGTTGAAAGAAGATGTGCAATAGAAGTTTAAAAAGCTACCAGGTTAATGTCAAGGTCACTATCGCTAAAATAGAATTGGTCGAAAATGTACTGTAATGCTGTTACTCGCCTACCAGTGTTACATTTTGATGGTAGATTGTATTTGGTGGATGTCCTGAATGAATAAGGCCATATAACTGGGATCCAAGATGGCCACCAGTCAAGGTCACTGACCCTAAAGATAGATAAGTAGTAACATATTGTCAGAACTATATTTAATGTTCTTTCTGATGTGTCAGTATTCACTTAGATTGTAAAGGGTTGTAAGTGGTACCTGAGGGACTTAGATTGTAAAGGGTCGAAGTGGTACCTGAAGGACTTAGATTGTAAAGGGTCGAAGTGGTACCTGAGGGACTTGGATTGTAAAGGGTTGAAGTGGTACCTGAGGGACTTAGATTGTAAAGGGTCGAAGTGGTACCTGAGGGACTTAGATTGTAAAGGGTTGAAGTGGTACCTGAGGGACTTAGATTATAAAAGGTTGTAAGTGGTACCTGAGAGACTTAGATTGTAAAGGGTTGTAAGTGGTACCTAAGGGACTTAATAGATTGTAAACGGTTGTAAGTGGTACCTGAGGGACTTAGATTGTAAAGAGTGGAAGTGGTACCTGAGGGACATCTTAATACACTTAGATTGTAAAGGGTTGTAAGTGGTACCTGAGGGATATCTTAATACATATGTAACATCATATTTCTGGGATCAGAAAGTCAAAGATGGCCACCATCCATTGTTTCTGTTTGGCTATAGACATGTATGGCTATACCTTTTGTTCTATTGATACAATTTTGCTCCTAATTGGTGGTTCTGTTTAATGTAAAGTGGGTACTGCACAGTGTGTATTGGAATATATATATATTAATTTTCCTGATCCCATAAAAAGGATGGGCACTATGGCATTGACAGAGACCTTTTAGGTTATAATTTCTGTTCTGCTGGTCTGATATTGTTCATGTTTTGTGGTAACTGGCAATTGGCAGAAAACGTAATAGTTAATAACGTGTTGTTACCAATCATTTTAAATGTTTAGTGTGCCATCTGCTGGCAATGATGGTGATGTATACAGTCAGTCACATGACAAGGCCCACAATGACTCGGCGATGTTCGCATTCCTTATTTCACATCGTTTCTATGGTATATCACTTCTCATCATGTAATGCTGCATATCTCTTACACATATACATATTATGTAACTGTGAAAATTACACCATCATCATCTGCTTTGTGAATTGTTGATAACTACAAACATGTGCATCATACCATGAAAGGATTGGAAATGCAATGAACTGCACCATATACACTTTCACTGTGACAGGCAGGCATTTTCTCCAGGAATATGCCCCAAATCATGGTCAATGGTTGAAAGTCAAGTTCAAAGGTCATAAAACGTAACTGTTTGTGAGCATGTCATGGTAACTAAAGTTATACAGTATGAATTGACATTATCATTTTCCTCCAGGTATACATTTTTCACTGTTACACTGTTGATGGAACCTATCACTGGTGTGGCAATTATCAACCTAACAGAGGGTGGGGGTCAGAATTTACACTCAGGATCAGTCTGACCCTCCAGGAGGCTGAGGGGCAGGACTATAAGGAGGCACAAAGTGCAAACCTTAAAAAGACGTCTTCTGTGAAACTTGCAGGTGTATTTTCACCAATTAAACTTTTCTTAAAGTGATGCTTTGATGATGAAGATCAGAATTTATATTCAAGAAGGGACTGAACCCCATGGGGGTCACTTAGTCCAAAACCAGAAACAATCATATCTTTGACTGCTTTCCAGAAACTATTTGTTAAACTTTGATGAAACGTGATTATCATCAACTTGAGAAGAGGATCAGAATTTGTACTGAAGATGGGTCTGACCTCAAGTCTGACCTCAAGATTCCACTCTGGGACTCGAGTTGCCGAGTCAAAAAGGGTCAAATTCACTGGAAGTTTAACAATCTTCTTCCTCAGACCAAGATATGCTAAGTCTAATCCTGTATATGAATGGAAAGGTCCAAAGATGCTTGATCAAATTTGTGAATTTCATTACTATTTTGTCATTTTACTTATATATACTTAAGCTCTGTAAAAATGTTGGTCATTCCCCATCATCATTTTGTAAAAGCCTATTTAAAGTCAGAAAACACATTTGCTTATATGTACATACTTTTATTCTTGGTCACATGACAATAACTAGTAACCATTGTATTAAATTTCCACTGAAGTGAAATTTACCTTTTTTTTTCAAGGTCCTGTCCTTTTGCCTCATGCATGTTTATGGGAGTTATGGCCCCTTTTGTTAAAATATGTTCACAAAAGAGCTTTTCCAACAGTTCTTTGCAAAGACGGGGAGTACAAATCTGCTATTCTCGCGAGAGGTTTTGGTTTGTTTTAACTCATTCACTCCTGAAATTTCGAAATGAACTATTCCAGCCTCTGAAGTGGAACAGTTCAAATGTGTCTTCAGGGGTGAATGAGTTATAAAACAACAGATCATAAAATTATTGAATACAATATATATATACATGGCATATGAAACAAGGTAACAGAAAAAATATAAACTTGAATAATCTCTCCTTTTCAAATATACAAACAGGATGAAACTTTAGTAGGAGTTTCACTTGAATTAATTGTTGTCATTTTAAAATCAATTCTATTACCTAAATACATTCCAGAAATAGTATTTTATCTACTGGTGTGATAATTGTGGCTGATAGTATTAATGGGATAAGGAAGACAGTTTTTAAAGATATTGATCAGTATTGTACTTGCTGATCTACTAAAAATGCATATACAAAGTAGGCATTTGGTATCACTGTGTACTTTCACTTTCCAGTATATATATATGTACACAGATGTCCACTTGGTACACCTCTGACTTTTTCCTTAGTAGTGAAGGTGGAGAAGATAGAGGACAGGGACTTGGTTTGACAAATATGTGTAGAGATAAGAGCTAGGACTGTGTGGTATATCTACCTTGTGTGTTGCTTTGTAGACGACCTCTATATACTGGACACTTGGACAGGTCAGTACCGGCTACAATACGACAGACCGATATGAAAAAGTTGATAAAACGTCAGAATAATTCAGACTAGTGTCCTGTCTGCATTATAATTTCATGTACATGTATCAAGCATAAATGCCATATTCCATACTATGTTGATAAGACAATATAAGAATTACCCACACCAGAGACATCTAGTACAACAGCATTCATGTTTCCAATATACTTATTACTTCATTATAAAGAATTAATTTATATAAACACATGGTATTCAGTATTTCATCAAAAAGCTATTGCAGATTTTATAGATACCTTGAACTTATAATATAATTGGACAATACAAAAAGAAAAAGACTACTTAAATTGTTCAACTAAATTTAAGTCTGGATAATCAAGAAATACTATTTTGATATGTATATGTAGTGGATACAGATTGGTTAAGTTAGTAGGTTATCTGTCTGGAGTTAAAAACTTTCAGAGGACCCAGTGTGTTAGACTTTCCTTTCTTGTTACATAATATAAAAAGAGCGATAACAAATTATAATTGTTTACAGACATCATGGAACCCTTAACAAAGAAGGCAAGGATAGAGAGTATAGCAACAGGCGACAAGAGGAAGAAGGTAAGGATAGAGAGCATAGCAACAGACGACAAGAGGAAGAAGGTAAGGAGAGAGAGTAAAGCAACAGACGACAAGAGGAAGAAGGTGGGTCCATAGTGAGGGAAGATATGAACAATTATACCTGTTTATAAAGACAGTCAAAGAAAGGCAGAAAGATATATGTCTTAGACGGAGGGTCTATAGGTAAAGTTTGCTGAACAAGGATTATGTTTTGTGCATGCTTGTCCTTGATGTCCGCATGTCTCTCAACTGATACTTTTCTTCTCCTGTAGATCACAACCAATACTTTTCTTCTCCTGTAGATCACAACTGTAAAAGTCTGGTTTTCTGAAAACATACAACATGGACGTGATGCTTCCAATTCTATGGTTTATTATCATCTTCAAACCCTACAAAGAAACCATAACAACCATTCAGTACATACAGTATATTAAAGGGAAACAACTCTCTTCCACACAAGTTACAATATATATATCACCCTGTTACATATCATTACACAGATCTATATACTAGTATAATTACATCAATTAACATTGCATTAATAGGCTCTGTTATTTAATTACAAATACCATTTATAGTATTCAATTACTAGTCTCAAGGTCTGATTTATAGAACTTCCTCGATCATGATTAATTACATTAATACATATTACTTTACACATATAACATTACATACATATCTCATTACTTTCTGTACTCTTACCCTACAGTATCATGCAGGGGTTTTTCACATAGGTTCTTTGATTATATGTTTCCTGGTCAATTCTCTGGGATTCAATTCTCAACCTGATCATCAATAAAAAGCTCTTTCTCACTAAATTTGCCAATAGCACTCTTACATACCATAGTACTGAATATAAATAATAAAACCATTTGCAACTTTGTAGATTTCAACAGAATAAAAATGACTATATCATCTAATTCAAAAATGTATCAAATTACTTAAAAAATGTATTTAACCTCAATTTCATTTATTGTTTAATATAGTAACCAATAAATTCATTAAACATTTATATTAGAATTAGCTAGAAGGACTAAAACTAACTTACCAAAATACTTCAATCTGTGCTTGTCTCTTACCTTCTTCATACCACCATACCCGGGTATCTCATGTACAACTGCCTGACTTACAGCTCACAGCTAAAAACATGCTTTACCAGATGGAATCCAACCAATCGTATCGGTCCATGTCACAAGTCACTTGTCAAGGTATACCCTAACACTACTCATGTCCAGTAGCTAGTCCTAAACCGGGCAGTGGCACAATATACATTATCTAATACATAACCTAACATACAAGATATATTAAAGGTATATATGTTCTCTATTTGTTATGGATATAATTGAAAGTTATCAATTATGTGATGACCCATGTCAAATATATTAAAATATCTTACATAATAATTATACAATACACAATGATCTGATCCATGTCAGACAATATAAAATCTGCATTTCTGACATAATCAGACATGTCCTGGTCCATACCAGATGATTTACATATACAAAATACATTAAATACACCCTGTCACACAACCAATACTTTTCATCCTCTGTAGATCACAACTAATACTTTTCTTCTCCTGTAGATCACAACCAATACTTTTCTTCTTCTGTAGATCACAACCAATACTTTTCTTCTCCTGTAGATCACAACCAATACTTTTCTTCTCCTGTAGATCACAACCTATACTTTTCTTCTCCTGTAGATCACAACCAATACTTTTCTTCTCCTGTAGATCACAACCTATACTTTTCTTCTCCTGTAGATCACAACCAATACTTTTCTTCTCCTGTAGATCACAACCAATACTTTTCTTCTCCTGTAGATCACAACCAATACTTTTCTTCTCCTGTAGATCACAACCAATACTTTTCTTCTCCTGTAGATCACAACCAATACTTTTCTTCTCCTGTAGATCACAACCAATACTTTTCTTCTCCTGTAGATCACAACCAATACTTTTCTTCTCCTGTAGATCACAACCAATACTTTTCTTCTCCTGTAGATCACAACCAATACTTTTCTTCTCCTGTAGATCACAACCAATACTTTTCTTCTCCTGTAGATCACAACCAATACTTTTCTTCTCCTGTAGATCACAACCAATACTTTTCTTCTCCTGTAGATCACAACCAATACTTTTCTTCTCCTGTAGATCACAACCAATACTTTTCTTCTCCTGTAGATCACAACCAATACTTTTCTTCTCCTGTAGATCACAACCAATACTTTTCTTCTCCTGTAGATCACAACCAATACTTTTCTTCTCCTGTAGATCACAACCAATACTTTTCTTCTCCTGTAGATCACAACCAATACTTTTCTTCTCCTGTAGATCACAACCAATACTTTTCTTCTCCTGTAGATCACAACCAATACTTTTCTTCTCCTGTAGATCACAACCAATACTTTTCTTCTCCTGTAGATCACAACCAATACTTTTCTTCTCCTGTAGATCACAACCAATACTTTTCTTCTCCTGTAGATCACAACCAATACTTTTCTTCTCCTGTAGATCACAACCAATACTTTTCTTCTCCTGTAGATCACAACCAATACTTTTCTTCTCCTGTAGATCACAACCAATACTTTTCTTCTCCTGTAGATCACAACCAATACTTTTCTTCTCCTGTAGATCACAACCAATACTTTTCTTCTCCTGTAGATCACAACCAATACTTTTCTTCTCCTGTAGATCACAACCAATACTTTTCTTCTCCTGTAGATCACAACCAATACTTTTCTTCTCCTGTAGATCACAACCAATACTTTTCTTCTCCTGTAGATCACAACCAATACTTTTCTTCTCCTGTAGATCACAACCAATACTTTTCTTCTCCTGTAGATCACAACCAATACTTTTCTTCTCCTGTAGATCACAACCAATACTTTTCTTCTCCTGTAGATCACAACCAATACTTTTCTTCTCCTGTAGATCACAACCAATACTTTTCTTCTCCTGTAGATCACAACCAATACTTTTCTTCTCCTGTAGATCACAACCAATACTTTTCTTCTCCTGTAGATCACAACCAATACTTTTCTTCTCCTGTAGATCACAACCAATACTTTTCTTCTCCTGTAGATCACAACCAATACTTTTCTTCTCCTGTAGATCACAACCAATACTTTTCTTCTCCTGTAGATCACAACCAATACTTTTCTTCTCCTGTAGATCACAACCAATACTTTTCTTCTCCTGTAGATCACAACCAATACTTTTCTTCTCCTGTAGATCACAACCAATACTTTTCTTCTCCTGTAGATCACAACCAATACTTTTCTTCTCCTGTAGATCACAACCAATACTTTTCTTCTCCTGTAGATCACAACCAATACTTTTCTTCTCCTGTAGATCACAACCAATACTTTTCTTCTCCTGTAGATCACAACCAATACTTTTCTTCTCCTGTAGATCACAACCAATACTTTTCTTCTCCTGTAGATCACAACCAATACTTTTCTTCTCCTGTAGATCACAACCAATACTTTTCTTCTCCTGTAGATCACAACCAATACTTTTCTTCTCCTGTAGATCACAACCAATACTTTTCTTCTCCTGTAGATCACAACCAATACTTTTCTTCTCCTGTAGATCACAACCAATACTTTTCTTCTCCTGTAGATCACAACCAATACTTTTCTTCTCCTGTAGATCACAACCAATACTTTTCTTCTCCTGTAGATCACAACCAATACTTTTCTTCTCCTGTAGATCACAACCAATACTTTTCTTCTCCTGTAGATCACAACCAATACTTTTCTTCTCCTGTAGATCACAACCAATACTTTTCTTCTCCTGTAGATCACAACCAATACTTTTCTTCTCCTGTAGATCACAACCAATACTTTTCTTCTCCTGTAGATCACAACCAATACTTTTCTTCTCCTGTAGATCACAACCAATACTTTTCTTCTCCTGTAGATCACAACCAATACTTTTCTTCTCCTGTAGATCACAACCAATACTTTTCTTCTCCTGTAGATCACAACCAATACTTTTCTTCTCCTGTAGATCACAACCAATACTTTTCTTCTCCTGTAGATCACAACCAATACTTTTCTTCTCCTGTAGATCACAACCAATACTTTTCTTCTCCTGTAGATCACAACCAATACTTTTCTTCTCCTGTAGATCACAACCAATACTTTTCTTCTCCTGTAGATCACAACCAATACTTTTCTTCTCCTGTAGATCACAACCAATACTTTTCTTCTCCTGTAGATCACAACCAATACTTTTCTTCTCCTGTAGATCACAACCAATACTTTTCTTCTCCTGTAGATCACAACCAATACTTTTCTTCTCCTGTAGATCACAACCAATACTTTTCTTCTCCTGTAGATCACAACCAATACTTTTCTTCTCCTGTAGATCACAACCAATACTTTTCTTCTCCTGTAGATCACAACCAATACTTTTCTTCTCCTGTAGATCACAACCAATACTTTTCTTCTCCTGTAGATCACAACCAATACTTTTCTTCTCCTGTAGATCACAACCAATACTTTTCTTCTCCTTTAGATCAGTTCTGGATGATTATGATGTATATTTAAACCTGTAGGTGGGTGCTGTGTTGGAGAGTCTGGTGCTAGGTGATGATGATGATGATATTGATTATGATGTATATTTAAACCTGTAGGTGGGTGCTGTGTTGGAGAGTCTGGTGCTAGGTGATGATGATTGTATATTTAAACCTGTAGGTGGGTGCTGTGTTGGAGAATCTGGTGCTAGGTGATGATGATGATGTATATGAATTTTGTAGGTGGGTGCTGTGATGGAGAGTCTGGTGCTAGATGATGCTAAGGTACACAGGATTATGACAGTAATGGAAGAGCAGATAAATTTTGCAAATAGTCCACGTGAGGAGGACAGAAAACGCTCTGACATGTTCTGGGAGTGTACCTATGTCCAAGGGCTCCTAAAGGGGGATGGTAAGTCTGCACGGAAAACTGCTAAAATTAGACTTCAAGAATGTTGAAAATAATGGTAAAGGGAGTTAAAGGAACTTAATGGGTGGGTACAATGATCCTGGGAATAACAGGAACTCTGTTGGTGATTACCTTTTTATATAGGGGTTAATATTGACTCCTCAGGGGAAACAAGGTTACATTTATTTTCAAAAATGTTATTCATATTACCTTGTTCAACTTATATACTATTTTCAGGTACATAAGGATAATAGTAGCACTTATAAACTAGGTATGTAACAAAGGGTAAAGAACACTAAATGACATTCTAATGACATCATATCTTTGTCAGTGCATTAAATATGATGATGAGTATATGTGAATAAAGATTGAAGAATAGATACATGTACCTAAGTGGTACACACTGCTGTCTTGTAGAGGAAGGCGATTACCTGGGTCTAGACCTAGGCAGTACGAATTTCAGGGTGGTGAGAGTTACCTTCAAAATGGGTGAGGCCAAAACCACCACCAAGTACTACAACCTGCCCCAGGAACTTCTCTCTGGGCCAGCAGACGGGGTGAGTTACAACCAACCACAGGAGGGTCTAGTTAGTCCTCTGCTTACATAATTACAGGATGGTCTAGTTAGTCCTCTGCTTACATAATTACAGGATGAGTTATCTCTCTGTTATAGACCCTTTGACAGCAATTAATTTGCTTTTTACAGACCCACAGACAGAGTGTGATATATGCCTGTTACAGACCCACAGACAGAGTGTGATATATGCCTGTTACAGACCCACAGACAGAGTGTGATATATCCCTGTTACAAACCCACAGACAGAGTGTGATATATCCCTGTTACAGACCCACAGACAGTGTGATATATCCCATCTATAGACCCACAGACAGAGTGTGATATATCCCTATTACAGACCCACAGACAGTGTGATATATCCCTGTTACAGACCCAAAGACAAAGTGTGATATATCCCTGTTACAGACCCACAGACAGTGTGATATATGCCTGTTACAGACCCAAAGACAAAGTGTGATATATGCCTGTTACAGACCCAAAGACAAAGTATAATATATCCCTGTTACAGACCCAAAGACAAAGTGTGATATAACCCTGTTATAGACCCACAGACAGAGAGTGATATATCCCTGTTACAGATACACAGACAGGGTGTGATATATCCCTGTTACAGATACACAGACAGGGTGTGATATATCCCTGTAACAGATACACAGACAGAGTGTGATATATCCCTGTAACAGATACACAGACAGAGTGTGATTTATTATATCCCTGTTACAGACCCACAGACAGAGTGTGATATATCCCTTCTATAGACCCACAGACAGTGTGATATATCCCTTCTATAGACCCACAGACAGAGTGTGATTTATCCCTGTTACAGAAGTGTGAAATATCCCTGTTTCAGACCCACAGACAGTGTGATATATCCCAGTTACAGATACACAGACAGAGTGTGATATTTCCCTATTACAGACCCACAGACAGAGTGTGATATATGCCTGTTACAGACCCACAGACAGAGCGTGATAAATCCCTGTTACAGACCCACAGACAGAGTGTGATAAATCCCTGTTACAGACCCACAGACAGAGTGTGATATCTCCCTGTTACAGACCCTCGGACAGAGTGGGATATATCCCTGTTACAGATACACAGACAGAGCGTGATATATCCCTTCTATAGACCCACAGACAGTGTAATATATCCCTTCTATAGACCCACAGACAGTGTAATATATCCCTTCTATAGACCCACAGACAGAGTGATATATCCCTTCTATAGACCCACAGACAGAGAGTGATATATCCCTGTTACAGACCCACAGAGAGTGTGATATATCCCTGTTACAGACGAACAGACAGTGTGATATATCCCATCTATAGACCCACAGACAGAGTGTGATATCTCCCTGTTACAGACCCTCGGACAGAGTGGGATATATCCCTGTTACAGATACACAGACAGAGCGTGATATATCCCTTCTATAGACCCACAGACAGAGTGTGATTTATCCCTGTTACAGAAGTGTGACATATCCCTGTTACAGACCCACAGACAGAGTGGGATATATCCCTTCTATAGACCCACAGACAGTGTAATATATCCCTTCTATAGACCCACAGACAGAGTGTGATTTATCCCTGTTACAGACCCACAGGCAGTGTGATATATCCCTTCTACAGACCCACAGACAGTGTGATATATCCCTGTTACACACCCACAGACAGTGTGATATATCCCTGTTACACACCCACAGACAGTGTGATATATCCCTGTTACCGATACACAGACAGAGTGTGATATATCCCTATTACAGACCCACATCCCTGTTACAGACCCACAGACAGTGTGATATATCCCATCTATAGACCCACAGACAGTGTGATATATCCCTTCTACAGACCCACAGACAGTGTGATATATCCCTTCTACAGACCCACAGACAGTGTGATATATCCCAGTTACAGATACACAGACAGAGTGTGATATTTCCCTATTACAGACCCACAGACAGAGTGTGATATATGCCTGTTACAGACCCACAGACAGAGTGAGATATATGCCTGTTACAGACCCACAGACAGAGTGTGATTTATCCCTGTTACAGAAGTGTGACATATCCCTGTTACAGACCCACAGACAGAGAGCGATATATCCCTGTTACAGACCCACAGACAGAGAGTGATATATCCCTGTTACAGACACACAGACAGTGTGATATATCACTGTTACAGACCCACAGACAGAGTGTGATATATGCCTGTTACAGACCCACAGACAGAGCGTGATAAATCCCTGTTACAGACCCACAGACAGAGTGTGATTTATCCCTGTTACAGAAGTGTGACATATCCCTGTTACAGACCCACAGACAGAGTGAGATATATGCCTGTTACAGACCCACAGACAGAGTGTGATTTATTATATCCCTGTTACAGACCCACAGACAGAGTGAGATATATGCCTGTTACAGACCCACAGACAGAGTGAGATATATGCCTGTTACAGACCCACAGACAGAGCGTGATAAATCCCTGTTACAGACCCACAGACAGAGTGTGATATCTCCCTGTTACAGACCCTCGGACAGAGTGGGATATATCCCTGTTACAGATACACAGACAGGGTGTGATATATCCCTGTTACAGACCCACAGACAGAGTGTGATTTATCCCTGTTACAGACCCACAGACAGTGTGATATATCCCTTCTACAGACCCACAGACAGTTTGATATATCCCTTCTATAGACCCATTGTGATACATTTCTAATTTAGAAGTTGATTGCAGATAGACAGTTTGTGCCTGAGTTTATATTTACAACATTTGTTGCTAATTAAATGATAAATAGTTTTAATGCTTACATTTTTCAGGCTTTTGACCACATTGCTGATAGTATAGAGAAATTTATCAAAGAAGAAAACATGACATCAGACAAAGCCATTGCCCTGGGTAGGTTTTAATAATAACATGCCTTGAGTACTGAGGGATTTATTTTATATTTTCATGAAGAACTTTGATACTGTTAGATCTTCTGTCAAAATTCTAATATCCATCTTTAAAAAAAAAACTTGATGATTGTGACTCTAATAATACTTTTGCAGGATTCACATTTTCCTTCCCATCTGTACAGAAGAGTCTTAAACACAGTGTGCTAATCACATGGACAAAGAGTTTCAAGTGTACCACAGGCCCTGGGGAGGATCCTGTCACCATGTTAGAGGCGACCATAAAGAGGAGGGGGGTAAATGTACCACAAGCCCTGGGGAGGATCCTGTCACAATGTTAGTGTGCTAATCACATGGACAAAGAGTTTCAAGGGTACCACAGGCCCTGGGGAAGATCCTGTCACCATGTTAGAGGCGACCATAAAGAGGAGGGGGGTAAATGTACCACAAGCCCTGGGGAGGATCCTGTCATGATATTAGAGGTGGCCATTAAGAGGAGGGGGGTAATTTATAAGAGTACCACAGGCCATGGGGAGGATCCTGTCATGATGTAAGAGGCATCCATAAAGAGGAGGGGGGTAAGTGTACCACAGGCCCTGGGGAGGATCCTGTCACCATGTTAGAGGCGGCCATAAAGAGGAGGGGGGTAAGTGTACCAAAAGCCCTGAGGAGGATCCTGTCACGCTATTAGAGGCGACCATAAAGAGGAGTGGGGTAAGTGTACCACAAGCCCTGGGGAGGATCCTGTCACAATGTTAGAAGCAGCCATAAAGAGGAGGTGGGTAAGTGTACCACAGGCCCTGGGGTGGATCCTGTCACCATGTTAGAGGCGGCCTTAAAATGGAAGGGTGTAAACAAACCACAGGCCCTGGGGAGGATCCTGTCAAGATGTTTGAGGCGACCATAAAGAGGAAGGGGATAAGTGTACCACAGGCCCTGGGGAGGATCCTGTCACGATGTTAGAGGCGTCCATAAAGAGGAAGGGGATAAGTGTACCACAGGCCGTGGGGAGGATCCTGTCACCATGTAAGAGGCATCCATAAAGAGGAAGGGGATAAGTGTACCACAGGCCCTGGGGAGGATCCTGTCACCATGTAAGAGGCGTCCTTAAAAAGGAGGGGGATAAGTGTACCACAGGCCCTGGGGAGGATCCTGTCACCATGATAGAGGCGGCCATAAAGAGGAAGGGGGTAAGTGTACCACAAGCCCTGGGGAGGATCCTGTCACCATGTTTGAGGCGGCCATAAAGAGGAGGGGGGGGGGGGAAGTGTACCACAGGCCCTGGGGAGGATCCTGTCACGATATAAGGGGCGACCATAAAGAGGATGGGGGTAAGTGTACCACAGGCCCTGGGGAGGATCCTGTCACAATGTTAGAAGCAGCCATAAAGAGGAGGGGGTAAGTGTACCACAGGCCCTGGGGTGGATCCAGTCACCATGCTAGAGGCAACCTTAAAATGGAAGGGTGTAAATGTACCACAGGCCCTGGGGAGGATCCTGTCACCATGTTAGAGGCGGCCATAAAGAGGAAGGGGGTAAGTGTACCACAGGCCCTGGGGAGGATCCTGTCACGATATAAGGGGCGACCATAAAGAGGATGGGGGTAAGTGTACCACAGGCCCTGGGGAGTATCCTGTCACCATGTAAGAGGCGTCCATAAAGAGGAGGGGGGTAAGTGTCCGACAGGCCCTGGGTAGGATCTTGTCACAATGTTAGAGGTGGCCTTAAAATGGAAGGGTGTAAGTGTACGACAGGCCCTTGGGAGGATCCTGTCACCATGTAAGAGGCGTCCTTAAAGAGGAGGGGGGTAAGTGTACCACAGGCCCTGGGGAGGATCCTGTCACCATGTTAGAGGCGGCCATAAAGAGGAAGGGGGTAAGTGTACCACAAGCCCTGGGGAGGATCCTGTCACGATATTAGAGGCGGCCATTAAGAGGAGGGGGGTAATTTATAAGTGTACCACAGGCCCTGGGGAGGATCCTGTCACGATGTAAGAGGTGGCCATAAAGAGGAGGGGGATAAGTGTACCACAGGCCCTGGGGAGGATCCTGTCACAATGTTAGAAGCAGCCATAAAGAGGAGGGAGGTAAGTGTACCACAGGCCCTGAGGTGGATCCTGTCACCATGTTAGAGGCGGCCTTAAAATGGAAGGATGTAAATGTACCACAGGCCCTGGGGAGGATCCTGTCAAGATGTTTGAGGCGACCATAAAGAGGACGGCGGTAAGTGTACCATTGGCCCTGGGGAGGATCCTGTAACCATGTTTGAGGCGGCCATAAAGAGGAGGGGGGG